GTGCAGCCTTGCAGAGTACAAAAGTTATGGGGGTATAGCTACCTTCACGTGATGTCAGAGGATCTTGTGGATAACCTGCCCAGGCAGCAGTCCTTCTCAGGGACAGAGTCACTGCTGAAGCTGTAGGAGTGGGGCCATCCCCAGGACCACAGAACTGTAGTACTCTCGGTATGTAGCATCAGCCTGTAAGCGATACAGGCACAAGACTCCACCCTGTGAGAGCTACACAAGCTGAGTCCAGCAGATCTGTGGAGGCAAGGCCACCATAGATCTTGGGGTCCACCTCCTGCCCCAGTGTATCCAGGTGTGAAAGGGGCCTGTTACTCCTTCTCTTCCCCGTTTCTCCCCTTTGGAGTGGGATATCTATTGAAGGCCTGTCCCACCATTGTACCTTGGAGGTAGATAACTAATTTTGATTTCACAGGCTCACGGCGGGAGGGAATTTGCCTCAGAATGAATCATGTCTTAAGTCTCACCTATATAAATGCTTAGATGAGACTGTGGACTTTGAACATTTGAGTTGATGCTGGAAAGAGTTAAGACTTTTGGGGCTGTTTTGATAGAATACACATTTTGCATGTGAGAAGGACATTAATTTGGAGGACCAGGGTCTAGTTTTATGGTTTGAAATAGTCTCCCAAAGTTCATGTATTGGAAACTTAATTACCATTGGAACTGTATTAAGAGAAGGGGCCTTGAAAGATAATTAGATCATGAGGGACTTCCCAACTTCTAGAATTGTGAACTCAGTAAAGTTCTTTAAAAATCACCCAGTCCGGCAGCACCTGTGACTCTGTGAGTAGGGCGCAGGCCCCATATACCGAGGGTGGCAGGTTCAAACTTGGCCCCAGCCAAGCCGCAACAAAAAATAGCTGGGCATTGTGGCGGGCGCCTGTGTTCCCAGCTACTCAGGAGACTGAAGCGAGAGAATCTCTTGAGTCTAAAAGCTGGAGGTTTCTGTGAGCTGTGATACCACAGCACTCTACTGAGGGTGACAAAGTGAGACTCTGTCGCAGAAAAAAAAATCACCCAGTCTCTGTTGTTCCATTATAGTAACAGAAAATGGACTAAGACACTCTGAAAATACCATAGGTCTGATGACTTTATATGTCATACCTGTTTACCTGAATCAGCTCCAGAAATCTTTAACTTCTAGATAATCCATCATGTTAAACTTTAGTCTTTTTTTTTTTTTGGAGACAGAGTCTCATTATGTTGCCCTGGGTAGAGGTGCCTTGGCGTCATAGCCCACAGCAACCTCAAACTCTTGGGCTTAAGCGATTCTCTTGCCTCAGCCTCTCAAGTAGCTGAAACTACAGGTACCTGCCACAATGCCTGGCTATTTTTTTGTTGTAGTTGTCATTGTTGTTTAGCAGGCCCAGGCCCGGTTCAAATCCACCAGCCCTGGTGTATGTGGCTGGCGCCCTAACCACGGAGCTACAGGCACAGAGCCTAAACTTCAGTCTTATTATCACTGACAGGTTTATTTCCTCACACCAACTAATTTTTCAGTTCTCCAACACCAGCTGGGTGTCTAACAATTCAATTCAGCTCTCTCACTAACCCTTCCTAGTTAGCCCATACCCCACAGGTTAAGGGCTCAGTCTCACAAGACTGTCCCTACTTCAGGTGAAGCCTTTGTTTTACCAATAACTTCAACACATTCAAAATCTTGGTTCACACGTTCCATTCTCTGGTCACCACCTCCTTTCTTTCTAACATCTTTACTTCAGTACATATACTCGAACGATTCTTTGTGTCTTTGTGACCTTCAGGAGTTTTGATCCATTGGCTCTGTAATAACTTAGGAGAACTGACTTACCTGCAACCACAGGTTCTCACCTTCACAGCTTAGATTCCAGGAGCATCACTGTCATTGTGCCTTTGAATACATCCATGGCTCCTTTGCCTGTCTCTCTCTCTCTCTCTTTCCTTTTTTGCTATTAACAGAGTTCTTTATTGCTAAACAGAATATATTTTCAGGTTGCAACACAGTATTTATAGATCATGAAATACAAAAGATCACTTATATGATTAACATTTAGAAAACACTGTCTTGAAAATTACAGCTTGATGAATTTTTTCAGTTTTTTTTTAATTTCACAGTATTGCAAGAGGACACATTTTTTGGTTACATGAATTGCTCTTATAATGCTTGAAACATGGTTATAGATGTGCCCGTCATTCCCTCGCCTTTCTGTCCCTCCATTGTACTCATCTGGTTAAATTCAGTCCTTCTCTGAAAGCTGTGGCTGCAACCCGGGAGCAGGATGTAGGCCGAGCAACCCTCTGCATTTTTCTAATCGGTTCACTCTTTTTCTTCCTGGGAGGGCTATCTCAGACCTTCTGCTCTCTCCATAAAAATATCCCACATCTCTTCTCCTCACCTTCTAACTCTTAGCTTGGTTATCTTATCTCTTATTTTACCGAGAAGATAGAAGCAACCAGGAGAGAACTACCCTTCCATCACCAAATCTACTAAGTTACTTCTGTCTCAGGCCAGTCCGCCCCTCCTCTTCTCCCCTTACTCACTAGATTGCACTCCCGTCCATTACACAAAGACTCTGCTCTTCTGGTTGTGGTGTCTCTCTCCTGTGTCATCACCTCCTTCCACTGTAGTGCACCCTTGCCTCCAGCATACAACATATTCAGGTGGGTTCCCAGATTAAATTAATCTTCTGTGGTCTTTCTCTGCTCTACTTTGTAGCTACCTCCTAATACTTACTTTACTCTTTGTAGCAAAAACATCAGAAAAGTTGTGTATACCCACTTCTTTCATTTCCTCATCTCCCATTCCCTTTTGAACCACTCCAATTAAGACTTAGACCCCTACCTTGCTGAAACTGCTCTTCTTAAAGTCAAATTGTTCCCTAACATATTATTCTCATTGGATTGGAACAGATTCACATTTTTAGAACAAACATTATAACAAAACTGATTACAAAAAGGAAGTCAGGAATTATTAGAAGAATGAACGTACTTTGATCATATTGGATGGAGGATATATATTTTTTGCTGTTGCATTATTGAGTTTGGGGACGTTAGCTACCTTTCCCCAACATTTGGGGAGTAATGCAACATACACAGAAGACCATATATCATATGCATAGGGTAGCAAGAAGAAATACTCAAGTATCAACCAGATTAATAGACTATTAACACCTTAAAGTCCTTGTGTGTCCCTCCTTAATTTATCTTCCTCTCTCACTCAGAGGTAACCACTCTCCTGAATTTTCTATGTATTATTCCTTTCCTTTTAATTATAATTTGCCACATACTATATGTGCTCCAACATATTGCTAGGTTTTGCATATTTTTATATAAATGCATTAATACTTATTTTTCAGAGATGTGTTTTTTCACTGAATAGTAGGTTTATGACATTTATGAGATTGCATGAAGAAATAGTTTATTTACTTTAATTGGCATGTAGTATTATAGTATATGGCCATAATATATTTATTTCTTTCTAAACTAAAAACGTTCACCTTCAATACTTTAAAGTGTTACACACATGCAGAAAAATAAACAAATCCCAGCTGTTTAGGTCAGTGAATTATCACAAAGTGAAAATTACATATTCATTTAAGAGATAGTACATAACCATCACCCAGAAGCCACCCTTGAGCTCCTTTCTTCTCCCCAAAGATAACCACTATCCTCACTTATAATCCATAGACTAGTTTCACCTGTTTTTTTTTTTTTTAGACAGAGTCTTACTATGTCACCCTCGGTAGAGTGCTGTGGTGTCACAGCTCACAGCAACCTCTGACTCTTGCCTCAGCCTCCCAAGTAGCTGGGACTACAGGCGCCCGCCACAACGCCTGGCTATTTTTTTGTTGTTGTAGTTGTTGAGCAGGCCTGGGCCAGGTTAGAACCCACCTGCCCCAATGTACATGGCTGGCGCCCTGGCCCCTGAGCTCCAGGCACTGAGCCAGTTTTGCCTGTTTTTTTAACTGGTATTAATGAAGTTATACAGCATATATTCGCCTGTTTTTGAACTGGTGTTAATGAAGTTATACAGCATAGATTCTTTGGAGTTTGGCTTCATTCTCTCAACATCATATGTGTAAGATTTAGCCCACCTTCATGTAGCTGTGGTTTGTTCATTTTCATTGCTGTGGATAATATTCTCATGTACAATATGCCACAATTTATGTATTCGTTTTATAGTTGATGAATGTTTGGATGGTTTCCAGTTTGGGGCTGTTACAGACAACACTGCTGTGAATGAATATTCTTGTACACACATGCGCGTGGATTTTTCTCCTGTATATGTCTCAGAGTGGACTCGCTCTGAGGTCATAGGACAGATCAGCCACACCTTACTTAACCTTTCCTCTTTTGATGGGTGATTGTTGTGCTTGTGTGGCCATTTCTGTAGTTACAAAACTGACTACAGTAGACATTCGATAGAATAAATACATAGACAGCTTGGCGCCGGTAGCACAGTGGTTATGGCGCCAGCCACATGCACTGACGGTGGCGTGTTTGAACCTGGCCAGAGCCAGCTAAACAACTGCAACAAAAAAATAGCCAGGTGCTGTGGCAGGGGCCTATAGTCCCAGCTGCTTGGAAGGCTGAGGCAAGAGAGTCACTTAAGCCCAGGAGTTGGAGGTTGCTGTGAGCTATAACTCCAGAGCACTCTACTGAGAGCAACATAGTAAGACTCTTGTCTCTAAAAAAAAAAAAGAATAAATACATAGAAATGTAATGGCTCAGTGAGTGCACGTGTGTATCTTCAACTCGATTAGGTAATGTAAAATTGCTTCCCAGAGTAGTTTGTGCCAGTTTACACTTGTACCAACAGAGTGTGTGTTCCTCGCTACACATTCTTGCCAACTGTTATCTCACTTTACATTTTTGCCGAAGTAGAAGATGTATATGGTTTATTATGACTTTAATTTGCATGTCCCTGAGTACTAATGAGATTAAATGAATTTTGGTTTATGGGCCATTTAGAGTTTTCAAATTTTAACTTTTTTCTTCTTATGCTTTAGTGTGGAGATGTACTTTCCTCAAAATGACTCTTGGATTGGTTTGGCACCCCTCAACATTCCTCGCTATGAATTTGGAATATGTGTTTTAGACCAAAAAGTGTATGTTATAGGTGGTATTGAAACTAACGTGCGTCCCGGGGTCACCATCAGAAAACATGAAAATTCAGTGGAATGCTGGAATCCGGACACAAATAGCTGGACTTCGCTGGAGAGAATGAATGAGAGCCGAAGTACCCTTGGAGTAGCAGTGCTTGCTGGGGAGCTTTATGCTTTAGGCGGTTACGACGGACAATCTTACTTACAATCTGTAGAGAAGTATATTCCTAAAATAAGAAAATGGCAGCCCGTGGCCCCCATGACGACAACAAGGAGTTGTTTTGCCGCAGCTGTACTGGATGGAATGATATATGCCATTGGTGGATATGGTCCTGCCCACATGAACAGGTATCTAATTAATAATCAGTTGTGTATTATGTAAGTATCATAAACAGTGATTTATGAGCTGTAAACAATTTTGTGTATGTGAAAAACTTCCTTTTTAAAGTTTTTTTTTTTTTTGTAGTTTTTGGCCGGGGCTGGGTTTGAACCCACCACCTCCGGCGTCTGGGGCCAGTGCCCTACTCCTTTGAGCCACAGGTGCCACCCAAAAAGTTTTGTTTTTTTTGTTATTGAATGGTAACTATGTACATTAATGCACTTCTGGGGTACAGTGTGGGGTTTTCACATGCAATCTGAAATACTTCCATCAACTG